AACCAGGTTTCCCACTCAAAATTACATTAACCAGGTTCATCATTGTAATGAAACTAATAGGATGGATGAAGACAGAGACAGTAAGATGGATAGATGGATGGAAGATAGACTGATAAGACAAGCAAGAGTAAGGTTATTACGAGGAATTGGCTTGAAATGATGATGGAGGCTGAACACAATCTGTATGTTAACTGTGAAACCAGGAAAGCTGGTGGTATAAATCCATGTAAGGATTACCAGGCCCCAAACTGGACAATCAGGCCAACTAGTATAAATCCCAGTATACAAAATATCCAACCTCAAGCAGTGAGGCAGAAAAAAAGGAGCAAATTTCTCCTTTCTTGGCTTTTGTTCTATTCTGGCATAGTGTCGCTAACTACATGAAGCATACCCACATTGAGGCAATCCATTTCTTCTGAGCCCATGGATTCAAATGCTCGTCTCATAGACATACACAGAAATAATATTTAACCTGGACACTCCAGGGCTGTCTAGTTGACACATAAATATAATAAACATTAACAATTATAAATGGCATTATTAGTACCTAATAATAATATTAGTACCTAATAATACCCAAGTAATGGTAAAGACAGAATTAAAACATAATCACATTTGCTATCTCATCAGTTCTTCAAAGCCAAGGGATTACTGTTCACTTCTGTATCAAAATTGAAGATATTCAATTAGTGAAAATGTAATGCTGGAGTCTTGAAACAAAAATCTTTAATAACTGTAAAATTCACAGCCTCTGGCAGACAAACAGCTCAATTACAATAGGAGTGAAAAGCTCTCAGTGGTTTACCGAAGAATATTTACAGATGACAAACACGAGAAGACGCTCAATGTTGGTTTGGAAATGGAGTGCTAAAATGCTCGCCTACCCTTGGCAAGGCTCTGGATTCAAACCCAGCACCTTACTGTCCTTAGTAAATAGATAAATGCAAAAGAAACTCAGGACTCCTGCTTGTTTTGTTTGCTTAGATGACTTTCTACCACTTAAGCCATGCCTCCAGCCCAGTTTTTACCTAGTTATTTTGAAGATAACATTCTCTGCCCCGCCTGGTCTGGAGTATTGATCTCCCAGATCTCGGTTCCTGAGTAGCTAGGATTATAGGCATGAGCCACTTGTGCCCAGCTTAGCATCAACATTTCACAACACTATTTCAATGAGGATGCTCTCAAGATAAAGCAGTATTAACTATTAGACATTAATCAAAAAGATGAGGTGACCTCTTCTATGCATTCCTATGTTTAAAGGTTGGGTAGACTATGGATACATGTTAGCAACCTAGAGGATTCTAGAAAAAATTATGGAATCACATGTACAGCTTTAAAACTAGTAGGAAAAAAATCACTCCAGCTAATACTAAGTAAATTGCCAGCAATAATTCCAAATAAATCATCATAATGAATGTAAATAAGATTGTCATCCATTAAAATGAAGACTAGAAATTAAATTTCAATATTTATGGCCAATACAATCATGATTGGATAAATGCACATATTTATATTTATGTGTACAAATGTTTCATATATAAATAACCAAATGTCATTGATACCATTATGAATTTATGCCATTACTGAGGTGAACCTTCCAAAGGGCTGGGGGACAAAAGGGTTAAGTTGCCTCTTCTGAGGACTCTGGAATGATGCACCCATTCTCATGACTTGGTGTCTGCCCATCACAGAAGAGCCAAGGAGAAGAAACAGGAAGAGATGTTACCATTTACTTTCTCATGACAAAGAGCAATAAGCAGAAACTAAAATTATTATCTGTGCCATAATAAAAATACTTTCTATAATAATTCAAACATTTCTGAAAAGCAGCTCACCTAATCCCTCTTTATCTTTCTTTCATCACTAGTTACGTTTGGGTGTTCCAAGTCCTACATTTGATGCTAGTTGTTCCATAAATGATAATCAAATTTGGCCAAGGCCAAAGAGAGCCCTGAGGAAGCTGATGTGGAAGTGCGCCCTTACATTTGACTTTAAGGGTGGAACTTGTTTGAGTTGTGGGAAGGTCTGCTATATTTACACAGCTGGCATTAAGTAAACCCTGTGACTCTCAAACTTGCCTTCATATTAGAATCATCTTGGGTCTTTTTTTAAAAAGTCCTCAACAGAGGTCACATCCCTGACCACTTAAATCACAGTCATGGGTGGGACAGGCATCAGAAAATGTTAAAGCTGTCCAGGTGATTCTAATTTGCAGCTAAATTTGGAGACATGTGCTCTAGAAGTCATTTCCAAGTTGAAACAGAAAGGCTAGAACAAGTGAATTGATGAGTTACAGAAAGTTTAAACATCAGGCAAGTTCCAGGAGGGTATTATTTTCCAAGGTTTCTTCCTTCCTGAGTACTCTTCTCTGTCCCACCTCAAGCTAAAAAGGTTAAATATCCAAAATTCAAAATAAGACTTAATGGTCTCATTAGTCAGTTCACTCCAAATTCATACATTTATTTTCAAACCAAATGAAATACACACATCCTATTTCCCACATACCTGGCTAAATCCCTAATAGACTTACCCTGTAATTATCATAGGCTTAAAACAGTTGCATCTACAAAGAAAATGCTAGTCTCTGTTCTTCATAATAGTTGTCATTAATAGGCAGGAGTCTCTTGGTTTACTGGGAAATTGGAAGGGGGAAAACTAAACTTACAGTTGACTTAGTGAATTCCTGCCACCTAATGGACATTTAAAAATATGCAGGCTCAATAATGAAGTTTGGAATCTTACTATGTTCAAAATTCATAGTAGCATTGGTAACTTCACACCAATTCCTAGATAGGGATGTGTGACCATGTAGTCCCTTAATTCAACTTAAAAAAAAAATTGATGCCCATTCCAGAGCTTGAACTCAGGCCTGAGTGCTGTCCTTAAGCTTTTTTGCTTAAGGCTAGTGCTCTACTATTTGAGTCACAACTCCACTTCAAGCTTTTTTTTGAGTAATTATTGGAGGTAAATGTCATGGACTTTCCTGTGCTCCTCAAATCTCAGCACTGAGTAGCTAGTGTTACGGGTGTGAGCCACAGGTAACTGGTTTAATCTTTCTATCCCTCCCCAACCCCCCACGTCTCTCTTTACCCTGTTCCCTCCCATCCCTTTTTTCAATATTCCTCACAAGTTCACTGCTTCCACCCTGGTCTAAGCCATCACCTTTTGCTTGTATTATTGCAAAGTTCTTCTTGGGCCTCCTACAATCTACGCCTAAAAAGGAAGCCAAAGTTCTTCAATCATGTCAGACTGTGCTTAGAATTCTCCAGTGTATCACCCAGAATAGAAGGCAAGGTCCTCTCAATAGCCTACAGTGTGTCATCTGACCAACTCTCCTACTAACTCTTGCCCAATGATATCCCTCCAGGAATCTTTGTGCCAGCTGCTGTCTCCTTTCTTCTCTTAAACTTGTTTACTTCGGGATGTAACTTAAACAGAGCCTATCCTGATCCCCTTCTTCTCCACCTCTTTCAAGGATCTTTCCATTCCTTTTACCTCTACTCCACCACTCAACGTTACCTTGGTTTATTTTCCTCCTCAGTATGTATCAACATCAAACATACTCATCAACATTCATCTTATGTCCCTCCTTCCCTTTCCTCTTCCTCACTGTCCTTCAGCAGGAGGGTTTTACCTATATATTGCCTGCTGCATCTTCACCCCCAAAATGTTACAATGCAGTTTGCACTTAAAAAAAGAAAAAAAAAAAAAAGAGAAGGTACTATATAGAATATTGGAAAAAACAATGACAGACTTGTATGCACCCTATTTTAAAAACTCCTTCATAGTTATTTTCCTTATACCTGTTCACTCATCAACTCCTTACTAAAACATGCACACTGTAATCTGTACTAAGAAAGCAACATACTAGTTGTACATTTTAGCATTTAAAGGAATGTGTAAAACTTAGTAGCCTTTTATGATAAATGTAGCAAAGGCCCAGTGCTTGGACATCTGTACTATTTGGCGACACCAGCATTGGTACCCCCTTCCTGCCTCTACCTTGTCCTTCTCCTGAGATTGAATGTCTAACATCTGGTAAGAAAGCAAGATGGATGAGCTGTCATAAGCCCCACTCCCCTGCATCAGAGCTTCGAGGGAACTGGCCCACTGCAACTAGTGACATGTGTGCAGTGTCAAGAAAGTGAGGAAAAACGGATGAATCCACATGAAAATATAAACCATTGCGGCTCCCTGAAAATTACTACTGGATTAGCTGGGAAGTCTTTCTGTCTTTAAATTTTAAATTGAAAGATTTTAAATTTAGTAATTAAATTGTATACAAGTGCCTGACTCATAGAAGCCTGTTCTATTGGGGCATCTACAGCTTTGTTTGCCTCATGGCAGATGGTGAAGGAAATTGTTTGCAATTCTGGACATGATGAGTTGAGAGCTCCAGCCACCTTAAGCCCAACCCAGCAGGTCATCATTCAGCTGTAAACCACAGTGTGAAGTAAGCTCTTCTCCGCATTAAGAAAATTAAAACTAAAGACATTTTAAAATACAATTATAAGCAAATTACTCAAATGTATTAAAGTCTTTAAACACAAAGTGATAGTAACCCAAAGTAACAGTAGGTTTATACATTTTAAAAGAGCTAATGTGCTTCAGGATTTTCTGAAGTGCTAGAAATACTCTGAAAAGGAATATGCAACTATTTTCTGAACGGTTTCATTTCTAGATGTTTACATAGTACTAAAAGTGCTACTTCTGATTTGCATATTGTACAACTGTAATGTTAAGTAATCTAGTTTACCTTTCCACAGCGCACAGTACTGTTATGTTGGGCATAACACCTCAGATATAAACAAATCATACTTTTTAAGAAGTGACTGATACCAAACAGAAGCATAAACCAAACAGGTCAAGGAGTGATGAATGTTTACTTTAGGAAGTAAAAACAACTGATGCCTTAAAAATATTACTGTAATTAAGAATTTTCATTTTATTGTTATTGGATTAGTGTAAAAATACAAGAAAACAAAAAATTCCAGTGGAAATGTACATAAAATTGTATTTATTTTCATAAATAAAAAGGTAACTCATTATACAAACCACACTCAGCAGAAGTAGAACATTAGCTATCATGGCCTGGTATGAAAGATAGGCTGTAGTTAATACCAACAACTCATTTTAGCCTCCATGCAATTCCTTTCCCTTTGGCAACTTCCCAAAAGTGCCAATACCACTTCAAAAGGCATTACATACAGTGGGATATATTTGTCATAAAGTGTTAACTTGGTGAGCCAAGAGGGTATTAATTATCTGATCATGCCAATGTTGACAATTATGGACTTAAATATCAGTACTATTTACTGCATTTCATAGAAGTAGTGAGCATAATTATGTCTTCATTTTATACAAGCCTTGATGTGCAAACTTAGTAACCAGCACCTAAGATAAACAGAGGCAGAGAGTACAGAGTGAGCTAACATCAATTACTGTCAAAGTTTTGTTACTAGGTGGCAAATACACAGGAATTTGTAGTAAGGAACACATGAAACAGTGAAATTTAATAAAATATTCTATAGACCGCAAATTTAAAAAAAGTCTGTTCAGTTATTATGCCCAACTACAGCTTCAAATATTGAATCTTATACCAAAAGCAGTAACTAGCAATTCTATATAGTTAAAAACCTGATTCTACATAGCTTTTTCGAAGGAGTGAAAAGTATAGTATAATCACTTATTTGAACACAATCTTGATAAAGATAGGTATAATCTATTAATGATTCATAATGATTTATTTATTCCTATTTCAACACTTTATGTAGATTTTATGAATTTCTCATGATTTATCTATGTACGTGCTTAGTACATTGCTTGGTACATAGGAAACCCTCAGCCAGACTAGTACTATTCCTATTAAGTGAACCAATTTGACATTTACAAATAGGAAAATTATTCAAGACCTAGGAGACTATCAATACAAGATAAACCTACAGACATGAGACTTTTGTTAAGAGTATGCATCCACTATTTTCCATGTTTTTGTATGTACCAAACTGTTTCAAATACTACAACTTATATTTTTACAACTTTTACTAACCCTTCTTTAACAAAGAAGCAGTTATCAGTATAATTCAGGACAGCCTATCTCATTCAAGTTTCAAGTTTTTCTCTTTATAGCCTGCAATATTTGTTTTCTTTTCCTCAAAAAAAAAAAAAAAAAAAAAATTCCACTCTTCCTATCTGCTCTAACATAGGAACACTAATCACAGTTACAAAGTTCTACCCTCTAAGTAAAAAACCCATTAGAAAAGATATTTGTAAAAATCACTGTAGGGTCATTGAGACTGAATGAAGTACAGGACTACTAGAATATAAATGACAGATTCTGGTATGTGTAAGGAATCCGGTGTGAAGAGTTTTAAAATTATTATTGTGGTACTAGGTTTTGAACTCAGGGTCTCTAAGTGCTTATCATTTAGGCTATGCTTCAGGGAAGTGTGATTTTTGTTCCTACCAGAGAAAATAAATTACAGAATGTAACAAGTCTGTGCTACAATTATTAGAGAGGATGAAACAACTGTTTCTATTCAAAAGAAAACAGTTCTTCTGGTATCAAGTATAAAGGAAAATAAATGTTTTTGAGAAGCCAGAAACCACCAGAGTTCAGAAATTACACAACCCTCACATTTACTCTTGAGAAGCACAATTCCACCTTTCATATCATCCTTATTAAAAAGCAATGTCCAGAGACAAAGCATGGTACATTTCTACATTAAAAAAACCAAGAATAATCTGAAAGCTAATTCCTTCTGAATTTAATAATTATTCTATAGTTGTCAGACGTATCATTTCAAGAAATAGAAACTGAAGTTCTGTGGTATATCTTATCTGCAAGCAGAAATTCTAGTGTACGCTGCATTTAGGAGATATAGCACCCAGTATCCTTCTGAGGTTTGATGTCTGGTTCTTTCACTGGCTTCACTTCTTCTTCTGGCTTAGGTTTGGCCTAGGCAGAGAGAAAACACAGTGTAAATACACAACTTGAGATCAGAGACACACACACTACACCATTTCCACTTTAGACTTTTAAAAGGTGATATACTAAATGACACAACACTAACATTAACCATGCTATTCCCAAAGCTACCTACAAATTCATTAGAAGATACAGATGATGTTATCACTAAAGACAAAAACCCACACTGAGGCAAAAGTCAAGCTAATGGTACTCCAAGTCAGTCTTTTGATAAACTGAGTGATGAATCCATGCTTTTACAACCCCAAGGTTTGGAAGTAACTTATGATAGGGATAGGCTATCTTTTAGGGTATTATTTCAGAGGCAGAAGAGGATATAAAAATGGTGTTAATAAGGAATAATGGTTTTACTATAGGAAAGAAATTTATATATTTATAAATGCAATTCTAGAGATGAAAGGACAGTTGCAAAATAATTCCCAATCCTTTTGTTACAGGCCCCTAGATTTTTGGTAGTTAAACCTGAAAATATCCACTTAAGCTACTAGTTAGTTGATTTAGAACACCCAGATGTACTTAGATATAAATGAATAAAAGCATTATTTTACTCCTGGAGGATTCCTGGCATGCTGAAATTAGATCAAATCTTCAAATACCCGGCAATGCTCAAAGTAGAATATCGCTATAGAAACAGACATGATCTTCTCTCCCACACTATTCTTAAAGGCATTGTCAAGTTGTAAAAAGGTGAGAAAATATGTTGAAAACAAAGGAGAAAATCAGAAGACACCGAAGGACTAGACTGTCTCTCCAAGAGTTCTCAAACAGATAATATTAAATGCTTCAATTAGCTCATTTAACATAGCAAATATAGTTACCTACTTAAAAAATGTATAAAAATGCTAACTCTGAACTCTCTTTTTAAACCTTTGTGAAGGAAAAACCCAGGTTTCATACACTGTCATCCTTGGGTCTCTTGGTAAGATCAAATGCTGCCATCGTTTCTGGTGTCCAGTGAGGACTCGTAGGAGGAAATTCGAAAGGTACAGGCTCTACCAGCCCATAATTTGCTTTGAGTTCCAGCTGTGGAGCGTCTGTTGGAATTTTCTGAAAGTAACTGCAAGAAGCAATTGAAATAGTGGTTCATTCATTTATTCAGTACTTGAGTGCATAATGTTTGAAGCCTAAATTAACACCGAGTAATGGGTTCTCTGTCTGGTATAGCTTATAGATGAGGTGAGAAAGTCAAGAAGCCCTATGGATTACCATGTAAAGAAGCTGTTGTGATCTTCTGCTAGGACTATCCTAGACATATACTAATAATTACTAATAAGGGAAACCATGGAGCCTATGTTTCTTTAGGTCTGCCTTACTTCACTTAATATATTTTTTTCCTGACTTTTTATTTCCTTACAAATGGGGTGATGTCATTCTTTCTGATGGAAGAATAGAATTCCACTGTGTATATATATCATATTTTCTTGATCCATTTATTTACTGAGAGGCATCTGAGTTAGTTCCATATCTTAGCTATGTAATAATGCTGCAATGAACATAGTTGTGCTGGTAGATATAGTGTAGCCTTGGTTGTGATTATTTGGTACATATCACCATATAAAATGATGCTAACAGAAATGAACTCCAAGAAATGGAAACAAGAAGTTTGTTTTTTTTTTAAATGTATTATATGAAGTTATTTCTTTTTTCATTCATTTTGTTCCCCTTTGGTTTATCTCTTTTTGTCACTTTTTTATTTTATTTCCATGTGTCTTGTATATATGTTTATCTAATTTAGGGGGAAAAAGGGGAATAACAAAATGGTGACACAAAGGTAAAGGTAAACCAATGCAACAGTGATACTCACAAGACACTATGTTGGAAATGAACTTCACAACTTAGGGGGAAGAGAAATCAGGGGTAGGGAAAGTGGGAGAAAACAAGGGAGGGGGTAACACTATTCAAGAAAAAATGTACTATTACCTTACTTATGTAACTGTAACCCCTCTGTACATCATCTTTACAATAAAATTAAACTTTAAAAAAAGAAAAAAGAAGCTGTTATGAATGTGAAGTGTCATGGAACACAAGGAAGGCTTATGGGGGGGTGTGGGGGGAGAGGGGCCTCAGAGAGTAATGAACGCTAAACTAGACCAGTTCAAGGAAGGGCCAATTCAGCATGACCAATGCAGAACATGAGGGAAGGATGCAGAGATAAAAGCAGGGCCAAGACTGATTCTACCAATCTACAAAGGCAGTGGCCTACAGTTCCAACAAGGGTTTGATAACAGAAAGCTGCTTATAAGTACTAGAAGAGATAAGAAAATTATTTTTCTTGCTTGTGGGTAGCTGAAAGAAATGAATATGCAAAGGGAGATGAGAAGTGATAAATGGAAAAAAGGAACAGGGAAACAAAGAAAACATTAGTATATCATGGGAGGTCAAGAAAGGTATACTAAAAACTCGGGTTTCAATCTTAGAATTTTCATATGTTATTATGTATAGAATAAAAGTTGGACCACATATACTTGAACTGTATCACTAATGTAAAGAAAAAACTAACACTAACCTGATATGTAATATAAGAAAAAACTTCTGGGAATACAAACCAGTAGAAATTATGATATTAAACTACTAATATATAGTGGATACTGATATAACATTAGTATTAAAGATGAAGCTGTACACACATGAATCCATTTTCTCTCTGACACTTTTCTAGGGTGTTCTTCACTTGGTTCCCAAGCTTCCTGAAGAACAAGTGTCCAGAAGGTCTGACTGTTGGTCCAGGTCCTTTGGTTTCTCCATAATCCTTGCACAGTGCTTCTGCCTTGGTATATACTGTACATGAAAGGGATCCAAACAATCCAATAATATGTAAACATTGCTTATTTATACTTAAAAAGCTGTAAATCAGCTGACATAACTTCTGTTGCAATGCCAATAATACCAGACTCCAGGCTTCAAACTTTTTTCCTTCCTCCCTATTGCCTTGCTACAGGCACCCATTCCCTTTTGTGAACTCAGCCAAAACGTATTTATTTCCCTTCACGATAAAATGTTTACTTTTTAAAAAGGAGTTAAAATTCAAAGCAGAAACTCACATTTTTCTGCTTCTTGGAGGGACCTGATTGCTTCACCACACTTATCACTAGCCAGCAAAGTCTGCCCATGATAACAGTAAGCCTGGCAAAAGAAAAACATTTGTATTTAATCTTTCCCTACACTTGTGTCAGAAGTACCTTTAGTTACTGTATGAATTCAAGTATAATCCCATATATCTTGCTTCTTCAGTAAGTAACCATTTTCCCTTCTCTGCTCATATAAAAGGACTTATATCCTACTGTACCTTCTAACCATGTCCTCAGAGCAAATGAAAAAACTTGAATTTTTTTTTTAATCAGAATATAGTAAATAAAGGGTTTTTCCTTGTTTTTGTAGTGTTTGTTTTTTTAAAGACAGGGTCTGTCTCTGTAACCCAAACTCACTTTGAACTAATGCTCTTTCGGCCTTAACCTCCTAACTTCAAGATTATAGATCTGTATTACCAAGGTCCTTGTTAGGCCTGTAACCTGTACCTTGCTGGGCAAAGACTGGAGATGAATATAAAACCCTAAAAACTGGCTCTTTAAATGTCTACATAAATACAGCAATTGTATATAGACTTAGGTAATATCTTTGAAAACTTATTATAAAGTGTAAGAAATAAAATTAAATGGAAAAAGGGATTTTCAGTCTCTCATCTGATGCAATCAGTAAACCAAGTTTGGCGGGTATAATAAACTGGTAAGTAACTTCTAAGATGGTACATACCGATCGTTTTTCTCCCATATAGATGTTACTCTGCATGGTATTGCCTTATGATAAAAATTAGTAAATGTCTTTAACACTGAACACAATTAAATTGAGAAAATTCTTGTTGATGGGTCAAAGGTTCTAGCCTGAAAGTGGATTCCGAATAAAACAGCAATTCCAGTCTATAATCTGCATCATCTCTTTCTACTCATGTTAATTCACAATGGCTCCAGTGTCAGTGAACACTTAGAACTAGGGAGCAGTCTGTCAGATGAGAGGCTGGTACTACAGGGGGCTGGAGAGACAGCAAACTATATTGTCTTCAGTGTATTACTCACATAAGCTGTGTAGAAACACATTTTCAAGTGAAGATATTTTCTCCATTTAGCAGAATATGCAGGCTCCAAACTGGATAAAGTATGATCTAAAGGTACATTTTAAAAAGCAAAATATAATTTCACCCTGATTCACTAGGTTTTTAGTACATTTGTTCTGCTGATAAAAGCAAAGTACCATCAAGTACAAATTCAAGCATTTATACATTTAGAAAACCCACCAAAAACCCTTTATTTAAAGGTATGTATTTTTCCGTAACTATGTTTTAAGCTGCAAAGATTAAATTCCATGGTATAGCTACTGGTTACTGTAACTCTGAGTTGAAGATGGTAACAAATTAGATACTATTTTTATTGTTTCTCTTCAAAAATTTATGTAATATAACCATGTAAAGGGTCTTACAGACACTTAAGTCAGATGGAGGAGTCTCACCTCCTTTACTCCTGCCATGATTGAATCTTTATCTTGTATTAACAAAAGAATATACTCACTCTTTCACATATACATAAATATATATCTAAAAATCTCTTAAATCTAGTTCATCCTCTCCATTTCCTCCTCCATTGTTATTTGTCAAAGTTTTCACCATTTCCTCCAAAAGGTGTAATAATTTTTTATTTAAGTGTTGAGTCAGCAGTTAATTCTTTTATGTAGCAAGCCCATCCTTCATACTACAAACATAGGGACAAAACTATTCACTCACTTTTGTTTTTGAATGGATCCTGAATACCAAGCATCTATGGGATCAAGGTGAAACTAACAAACCATATGACTTATGATTTGATCTCACACATGTGAACTTTCCTAGCATTTTCTTTCATTCATCCTGTATTTCAGCTATGCACATAGCTGTCTCAAGGACCCAGAATATGCTCAATTCTTTATCTCTGTACATGACATCCTATTCCCACAAACTGAAAGTTCCTAAGTAACTTGAAACTTTTATTTATGTTTTAAGAAGTTATCTCCCTTCAGAAGTTATCTTCCTTCAGAAAGACTTCTTGAGCATGCCAAGATTGTTCAGGTTCTTACTTTGCTGATACAACAATTACTTGTTTCAAGTGATTAGGAGCTTGTCTCCTTTCCTAGACTGTGAATTTATTCTACTTCTCTCAGCATGTAAAACATATCCAAAATAGAAATGTAGGTATGTCTCCTAAATCAGTGTATAACAGCTAATGAGTGAGTCAGCTCCCACCTGGCAGCTTTGAGTTGCTATGTTAGTTTCATTTCTTGTCAAAATAAATAGTTACAAAGACCAAAAACAATTTTAAAAGCAAAAGGACTAAATAATCATTAGCTGTAACTGATTACAAGAACAGCATTGTTTCTTCCACTAGAAATTATGTAACATTAACTGTTAACAGCTCTAATCCTTTAACAAGATCAATAATGAAGATATTATTGCAGTTTTGTAAATACTGAAAAAAAAAAATCTGAGAACCTTTTGATGCTTCCCTTTTCAGAGCAAATAAATCTGAGAATCTAAAGACTAAAGTTTATCAGCAGAATTCTATGCTTACCAGCTTTTTGATAGAAACTGGCTGTTTCATATGCCAGTGCAGCAATCAATCCAGGAGCGTGCTTGAGTTCAATTGCTCGGGCAATTGTTACTATGACCAACAATAGGAAAGTGTATATAATTAATTTCATTTGCATTCACCGTAAGTTCAATTACAATAGCAACAGACAATCTGACAAGGTTTTCTTGAGATTTTCATACAGTTTCAAGTTTTAATATTACAAGTTATAGAAAACATAAGCATAAATAGAAAATATTTGACTCTGGTTCTGATACAAGTTCTTTAAATAAATCACCTGTTAATTATTAGCTAATCAGAGAATTACTACAAAACAGAATTCAAGAAAAATAATTTCATAGCTGAGAGTAGAGTCTGAAATAATGAAAATCAAAAGCTTAGGTTTCTTTTTTTTTTGGTCTGGTCATGGGGCCTGAACTCTGGGCCTGGGCGCTGTCCCTCAGCTTTTCAGCTCAAGGCTAGCGCTCTACCACTTGAGCCACAGTGCCACTTCCGGCTTTTTTTTCTTTTTACTTATGTGGTGCTGAGGAATTGAACCTGGGGCCTCATGCATGCAAGGCAAGCACTCTACCACTGAGCAACTTTCCCAGCCCAAAAGCTTAGGTTTCTTTGTTATTCTCACATAGGTTTGACTGATTCCTGCCATTAAAAGATTTTAGCAGAGCACCAGTGGCTCATGCCTATGATTCTAGCTACTCAGACAACTGAAATCTTTCCCGGGCAATAAAGTCTGTGAGAATATGATCTCCAATTAACCACCAAAAAGCTGTAAGTGAAGCCTTATCTCAAGTGGTAGGGTATTAGTCTTGTGCAGAGGCATTGCTCAAGAATAATTCCTATGCCCTGCATTCCAGCTCCAGGACAAGCACAAAAATAAAAATAAAAAAAAAAAAAAAAAAGAAGAAGACTTTTAGGTAAGTTAGGCACTAGAAGTAGAAAAAGAACGAGCAAGGTAAGAGTTAGAGCTTTTTTGCTGGCAGAAGTGGCTTGGAATCAAAATCTTCTCTTAAAGAGCCAATAAACTGGGTGCCAGTGGCTCATACCTTAATCCTACGTGTGAGGCTAGGATTAAGGAAAGGAGGCTACCCCAGCCTAGGCAGGAAAATCTGTGAGATTCTTCTAATTACCATCAAAAAGCCAGAAGTGGAACTGTGGCTTAAGTGGCAGAGCACTAGCCTTCGTCGAAAAAGTTAGAGGTTCAAGCCCAGTACCCACACAAAAACAAACAAAAAGAGTCAATGAACAGGAAGGACATCTCCAGCAAAGAATGAAAGTGAAGAGTATACATAAAATTACTCTTTACTATAAATTTCTTAAAAACTGACACTCAAGAAAATTGTGATTTAAAAAAATAATTAAATTCAGTCAAGATTTTCTTTTTTTAATACTTTTTTATTGCAAAAATACTGTACAGAGGGGTTACAGTTACTTGAGCAAGGTAGAGTACATTTCCTATCAAGCATTGTTACCTCCTCCTTTGCTTTTCCCCTACCCTCCAAGATATTCTTTAAAAAAGAAAACCATCTGGGCATCAGTGGCTCACCCCTGATGATCGCAGTTCAAAGCCAGCCCAGGCAGGAAAATCTGTGAGACTCTAATCTCCAATACACCACCAGAAAACTGGAAGTGGTGGTGTGGTTCAACTGTTAGAATGCTAGCCTTGAGCTGAAGAACTGAGGGACAGTGCCCAGACCCAGAGTTTAAGCCCCAAAATGGGTAAAACAAATAAATAATAAAAAAAAGAAAAACCAATCTTAAAATGTTTAAGATACCTTCTTGAGCTTCAGCTTGGCACTGGATAATGTAAGCTTCTATGAGTCGGGTCTCTAAATCCCTTCCCTTTTCTACAGGTGTGATCAGTTTTGGTATATGACTTTCCTGAGAAACAGAAAAAGCAAATTTTGTTTTAATCCAGTTTTTAGAAACGATGAAGGGAAAAATTATGAGATATTTTTTGGGAACTTATCAGAAATTTAGGATACAAACAAAAATTGTATAAAATGTTAGCAATAACATAAGGAGTTTTAGACTAAAAGTTAGCTCTTATTAGAATAAGAAATCCTTGGTTGGTGCTGAGGATTATCTCTGCACTGGAAATAAAAGAAAAAGAAAACCTCAGGCCAGGCATGTAATACACACCTGTAATCCCTAGCACTCTCTGGAAGCAGAGGCAGAAAGATTTCAAGCTTCAGGCAAGACTGGGCTACTGAGCAAGACCCTATATTAACCCAAAAGAAAAGGAAAGCCTTGCTCCATCCCCTACTCTCACCCCTACTTGTAGGAGACCTCACCTAAAAACCTAGGCTCTAGTCTCCTAAGCACCACCAGAGCCCCTGCCTCTCTGTTTCTTTACCTCTACCTCCAAAATTGTTCTTCCATTGTAGGGTTTGAAATTCAGCAAATTCAAAATATCTTGTCATTGTATCCTTGCACCTGACTTGAAAACAAGGCGATAGGATTTCTGTGTTTTAATGTAAATAGGAAAATAAAGGATTTTCCATGTGTTACAAAAAAAAAAAAGAAATACAAGAAAAATTAGAGCATGATAGATTGCTTAGTCAAGACAACACAATGCAAACAAACCACATTTCCATCGCAGAAAATACTTAAGTGTTATAGTAACCAAAATTCCTTTTTACATGACAGCTTTAATTGTTTATTCACATTAATAATTAAAGACATACTGAAAAACCTAATTCTACACCTAATTCAGAACCACAGCTTTTTAATCACTGCAAAAGCATGTTATTTTATCATGGGGGGAAAAAACCCCTACTAGCCTTCATCTAATATAATACTCTTGGAAACTGCTGTGGAGAACAGTGAGAAATGACAGGAAGATTCATTTATAAGCTTTGTCTTCTCAGAAGGTAGAGAAAAAATAAGCACATTATCACAACTAGAATTTTTTAGTGGAAAGTCGCTGCTTCTAAGATGTCAGCCTCCTGAGTAGTCAGGATTACACATGTAAGCCACTGGCACCCAACCCTAGTACTAGATTTTTAAATAAAATTATTCAGCCTTCCACACCCAAAGTAAGAATTATTTGTGTATTAAAGTATAAGACTACACACATATTTTTTACCTTTAAATGTTTAAAAATCCCAGCTGCAATTTTCAGGCTTCGATGGACTTCTTTGGCTTCATCTTCTGTTATGCTTAGAGACAGTGATTGGTTACATTACTTAGTAGAAGCTGAATCAATAACCAATAACTTGGGGCTGGGAAGGTGGCTCAGTGGTAGAGTGCTTGCCTAGCATGCATGAGGCCCTGGGGGTTCGATTCCTCAGCACCACATCAACAGGAAAGGCTGGAAGTGGTGCTATGGCTCTAGTGATAAGAGCACTAGCCTTGAGCTGAAGAGCTGAGGGACAGCATTCAGGCCCAGAGTTCAAGCCCCACAACCAACAGAAGAGGAAAATAAACAACAACAACAAAAACCCAGTAACTTTTACACTATTACTAATACATAATTATCATTAAACAAAATTACTAATACATAACTATCATTAAACAAAATCAGTTGTTTTTCCCTACTTGTTTTCTTTTGAAAAAAAATTTGACACTCAAAATATTGTACATAAAAAATATCCTGAGATCACAGCTCTGCTAGGATTACAGGTGTGTGTGTGTGTGTCTCTCTCTCTTTCTCTCTCTCTCTCCAAGGGCTTGAACTTAGGTCCTGGGTGCTGTCTGTGAGCTTTTTTGATCAAGGCCAGCACTCTACCACTTGAGCCACAGCTCCACTTCCAATATTTTTAGTAGTTTATTGGAGATGAAAGTTATTGTCCAGGCTAGTTTCGAACCATGATCCTCAGATCTCAGCCTCCTGAGTAGCTAGTATTACAGACAGACAGGCATGAGCCACCAGTACCCTGCCACTACAATGTTTTTGGACAATTCTGCCATCTATTTTCTAAACTTTGTTTATACTATTTTATGTAGTCAAATATATATTCTATTTTTCTTGGTTTGTTGTTTTATTTAGAAAAACTCTGCATGGCAAAATTGTAATAAATTTTCTGTCAACACTAGGCTATGTAATTCAAATACTTAAAAGATGACACAAGCTGTGGAAGTGGCACTGTGGCTCAAGTGGTAGAGTGCTAATCTTGAGCTGAAGAGCTCAGGGACAGCGCCCAGACCCAGAGTTCAAGCACCACGACATACCAAAAAAAAAAAAAGATTCAGAGGTACTGCTTCCAATATACTGCCCCCCATACCCAAAAAAAAAAAAAAAGGGCAAAATTTTCATTTTTCCAAAGTGTACTTTTTAATCAATAGCTTGGACTTTCAAATAATGAATCTCAATATTATTCAAAACAACACACATGCATTTAATTTTTTGCTTTTAACTTACTTTTCTTTTCCAGCCAATCTTGAAGCGTATTTGGTATACCATAAGGCTACATTAAATCCCATGGAAATCAATTCAAAAACAGCATCCTGCTGGACACTGGAGATAAAAGCATAAGCATTATAATCTGTAAATCTTAACAACATTGCTACATGAAGCCTACTGGACACTGAAATTATAAAGATATGTTAACTGTTATATGCAAGTAACCATGTTTATGTATATGTTTACAAATGATTCTTGTGTTTAATATAGGTAATTTAATATAGATAGTTATGAATGAATGGGTAAATAGCGGCCTCGTATGTGCTATGTACTTCATAATTAAAAAATAAGAGAACAGTTCCCAAAGTTTACTGCACAAAGAGTATCTTAAAAAAATACACCTTTCACTTCCCTAAAACCCAGCCATATCACTCTTGGGCATCTAAATAGAACATTACAAGTCAAGATATGGTAAAAACACTTGCACATCCATATATACTGCTGTGCTATTCACGTTAGCCAAGTTAGGAAACAGCCCATAGATGCCCTTCAGTAGATGGGTGGATCAGTAAAATATGGTACGTATACATAATGGACTCATCTATTAGAAGAATGTCATTTGCACAGAAATGGATGGGCCTAGAACAAATCATGCTCAGTGAAGTAAGCTAAGCTTAGAGAGATTAACAGTGCATGTATTCTCTCACATGTGGAAGCTAGATCTAAAATATAACTGGACATGATAACCTATATAGGACTCTAGACATTCACAGTCAGACTAAAGGAGAATTCCCTTAGGGGAGGAACCCAAAGATGTAACTCCTCTGAACATTTAAAATATTATAACATTTAAAATATTATTTACTGAAATGAATTCTAGGAAACAGAAACATGGGTTTTGTTCATGGTGGGGGTGGTATTTGCTTTTTTTTTTTCTTTTTTAGGGGAAGCAAAAGGGGAGCACAGAAAGGGAGAGAAGAAGGGTAAAACAAATGCAATCATGGTATTCAGTACACACTATGTGGAAAATAAACTATGTAACTTGTGGGTGTGACAGGAGGGGGAAACTGGAAGGTGGACAAAAAAGAAATGTACTCATTATCTGACTTATGAAGTGGAAACCCCTCTGTAAACACCTTAATAGTAACAATAAAATTACATTTTAAAAAATAGGTCTTTCTGGGACTGCAGATTCAGAAAGTCTGGGACACGGCCCAAAATCTGAATTTTAACAGGTATGCAAATGACTCATCAGAGTGGTTCTTTCATATAAAACATACCAAGAAAAACTGAATTCCGAAGAAATTGATGATGAAAAGCACAAAATCTGAATCGTGCCTTAAAAGACGACCAGAAAGCAGGAAATCTTGGGGTGAGAATGATGGTGTCAAAGCACAAGAATGCATAGACTTTTCTGGTCAAACAGAAAAAAGTTAGAAAAATAAAAAAAATAGGCTGGGCACAGTGGCTCACAATTATAACCCTAGGAGGATCACAATTAGAGGCCAAACTGGGCAAAAGACTGTGAGACCTTGAAAGTGGCGCTGTGGCTGAAGTGGTAGGCCCTTGAGCAAAAAGGAGCTCAGGAACAGTGGCTAAGCTAAGTTTGAGCCCCAGTACAGGCAAAAAAAAAAAATTAAATTAAAAAAAATTGTGAGCCCCCCACCCATCTCAACCAACAAGTCAGGCATGGTAGTACATGCTTATAATCCAAGCTATGCCAGAAGTATAGGTAAGAGGATCTAAGATCTCAGTCTAAAGCTGATCTCAGTGAGATCTTACCTGAAAAAAACATAAAAGCAAACAGGCCTGGAGAAGCGGCTCAAATGGTGGAACATTTTGCCTAGCAATTCAAAAGCCTACATTCAAACACTAGTACTAAGCCCCCAGAAGAATCAAATTTTAAGAAATTGTCAATAGCTTATTCATCACTGAGAACTTTCAAATGAATTGTATCTAGTAATCTAGTGGGCATATCTAATTTATAACTCTAAATAATAAGACCATTTTGCTTATTTGTATCAAGTCTTATAATAAATTTCTTATCCTTCCCCCCCCCCCCCCCACACACATGAAATGTTTGGGAAGGAACCCAGGGCTTCATACATGGTAGGTTTGTAAAAATTCTACCACTAAGCTACAATGTAATTTCTTTCTCTATCTTTTTTGTTGGTGGTATAGAGAGACAATTTTCACAGAGTATGTAGCAATCAAGCATGCAGTTTCACATGCACCAAACAGTGTTGTTTGTCTGCATTACATAATTCTGTCTAGCAGACCTTTTGAAACATAGAATACAAATTTAGCGTGGTGAGAAGAAGACCCAAGTTTGTGTAATACAAAATATTTTAGAATCTATTAAAGTTTGTAATGTAATAAGACAGATGATTGATTCTTTAAACAGTCAACTAAGAAAAATATCTCAAATTTAGCCAGGTGCTGGTGGCTTGTTCCTGTAATCCTAGCTACTCAGGAGGCTGAGATCTGAGGATCAAGGTTCAAAGCCAGCCTGAGCAAAAAAGTCCTGACACTCTTTTCTCCAATAAATCACCAAAAAAGCCAGAAGCTGTGGCTCAAGTAGTAGAGCACTAGCCTTGAGCAAAAAAGCTTAGGGACAGGGCCTAAGCCCTGAGTTCAAGCCCCAAGACCAGCATAAAAAAAAAGAGGGGTAACAATATTTGAAAAAAATATACCCATTACATTACTCATGTAACTGTAACCCCTCTGTACAGCATCTTTACAATAAAGTAAGATTTTTTTTTAATGAAAAAAGAAAAATATCTCAATTTGGGATGAGAAAGTGATTACAGAAGAACAGAAAATGAAGTCTTGGAAAATTTCAGTATCCAAAAATATTAAAATTAATGAAGAATTTAGGGGCTGGGAAGTTGGCTCAGTGTCAGAGTGCTTGCCTTGCATGCATGAGGCCCTGGGTTCGGTTCCTCAGCACTACATAAGCAAAAAAAAAGCTGGCAGTGGTGCTGTGGCTCAAGTGGTAGAGCATTAGCCTTGAGCTGAAGAGCTGAGGGACAGCGCCCAGGCCCAGAGTTCAGGCCCCACAATCGACAAAAAAAAAAAAAGAATTTACCCTCTACCTAATTGGCATATTGAGTCAAATGACAAATTCTACATATGACATTCCAAAGTAAAAAAAGGAAAATATTTGTCTTATTATAATGCCTAATATTCTGTTATTCATTTACACCAATTTTCTTACTCTTATTATAATGCCTAATATTCTGTTATTCATTTACACCAATTTTCTTACTCTATTCCTCACAAAAAGATCTGTAACTCTTAAAGCAAAATCTAGTTGAAGAAGATGTCCAATGGAAGAAAGCCTGGAATGCTATCTAGCTACTTATGAACACTGCTTATACCTTTTCTTGTCAACCCCCATCATTTGGCAATCTCCAATCATTTCCTTTCTGTTGTTGTGAAAAAATATTCCAAAACAAAATTGAGACAAAGATAGTGGGCATCTTACAATCCAGTGGTGTTTTTAAAAAACAGTAAGTACATCCAGGCGCCAGTGGCTCATATCTGTAATCCTAGCTACTCAGGAGGCTGAGATCAGAGGGGCACAGTTCAAAGCCAGCCTGGGCAAGGAAGTCTGTGAGACTCTTCTCTCCAATTAACCACCAGAAAACTGAAAGTGGCGCAGAGGCTCAAGTGGTAGAGTGCTAATCTTGAGCTGAAGAGCTGAGGAACAGCGCCCAGGCCCAGAGTTCAAAACCCAGGACAAAAACATAAAACAGTAAGTACTTTTTAAAGTGTGATCAATCAGAAAAAGAGAAGTCAAGGAAAACTAAAATTCTGTTCAGCTGAAGGAATGCAAAAATGGAATGCCAGCGTAGGGTTCCAAATCCCCAAAACATTCTTTGTATGTTATTAAAATACTCAAGGCTGTTCAGTTCCAGTTAATATTTGTATTAATACAAAAACTAGACTTGGTCTGGAAGAAAATCATCCTAATTTTACTGATAATATGTATGATGATTTAGGTCAAATGCTTTTAATTAACTTCCCGATTAAGAGAAAATGCTGACCAGTCTTATACTTTTCTTCAATACAAGGATAAAAGTTAAAGACACTGGATGAATACTTGGCTGCAATTTTACACTACATTAGCACTGCTCACCTTGGAATCTGTCCTTGCAATGTATCAGTCCACTTGAAATTTTGAATATATCTTAGTTTGCTTTCCTGGGTAGATTCATCAGGTGAATTTATGAAACCTATGAAAAGATACACCTTAGTCTCAGAAAAAAAATATACTACCTGTTCTATTTAGAAGGATTCTTTCTAAAAGAAAAGCAAGTAATTTTTTAGGTTCCTGAATGAAACTTCTGGCCCTGTTTTCCAAAATACCTCACTCCTTCTCCTACTGTAACATAGTACAAAAAATGCATATATTTAAATTTTTTAAATGTTAGAAAAAATCACATACTATCATTATAATCTCAAATTTCTGAAATTTAAGTATATAAAATAGCTAAAGACAACTAAATTGTACAAATGTGGAAAATTTAAGAATTAAAAGTAAATGTAAACTCAATTCATGTAAATAACTAACCTTGTAAAAGTGAAAAGTACAAATCTGCTGCATTCTTCATCATTTCTGGATTACAGCTCAAATCAGTGAAGAGTTCAAGGAGGCGCATCCTGGATGATCTCAACTCACTTACATGAAACAGTAAAATTCAGTTGTATTATATGATTCTAAGCAAAAATGACTTGAAATGAGATGTACAAGTCGTTATGTCAAAAACGAACTTTACAACTTTGGTGGGGGGCGGGGAGGATGGGAAGGGATGGGAAGGGGAAACAAAGGAGGAGGCTACAATGCTGCCCATGTAATTGTAATCCCTCTGTACAGTATTTTCACAATAAAAAAAAAATGACTTGGAAATATTACTATAAAGAGCTTTAAAACACAACGCTCACCTACATCCCCTACCTCTAGTAGATATGTATACCAGAATACAAGAATAAATTTAATTAGCACCAATAGCTAATAACAAGTGAAATATCCTTCAATAATTTAAATGTTCTACTAAAAAAAAATCAGCCTAATTGAAGGAACAAATCATGGATCATATTATGTACCTGTTATCCCTCTTATAAAGGGGAGTCTAATATAGGCTTGTAGCTGGGCAGGAAGGAAGACCCTCTTTCAAAATAACCAGCAAAACCAGGCTGGAGGCCTAGCAGAGTAGTAAAAGCATCTACCTACAAGCTACAGGACCAGGATTCAAACCCTAGCACTGCCAAAAAAACCCAAGAAACTTGCTCAATTAATACCTGTTGAATTTCACTAAAACTTACTTGCAAATTTTTGAAGCAGAAGGGCCAGTGACCATACCATAGTAGTTAAAAGAGATAGGAGCTGTAGCTTTTAGTGGGTTCCTATGAAACCAATGGGTCATTTTCTCCAGACGTGTTCTATATACAAAAAACAAACACATAAAAATTAAAGACAAAATATTTAATGACCAGCACATGATGTGTGAATGGTAGTTACTTTTCAGTTACATTTACATATAAACTATTAGCATGAAACATATAAGATTATTTCATCTCTACAAATCAATTTTTTTTTTTTGATGGGTCATGGGGCTTGAACTCTGGGCTTGGGTGCTGTCTCTGCACTCTTCAGCTCAAGGCGGGTGCTCTACCGCTCGAGCCACAGCGCCACTTCTGGTTTTCTAGTGGTTTATTGGAGATAAGAGTCTCACGGACTTTCCTGCCCAGGCTGGCTTTGAACCGTGATCCTCAGATCTCAGTCTCCTGAGTAGCTAGAATTACAGGCGTGAGCCACCGGTGCCTGGCCAAACCAAATTTTTTTAATGAGGGTTCATTTATGGTTATGTTTAGATCAGATCTCCAAAAACGAGCAAGCTTCTGGAAACATAACTTCAACGTAACAATATGCTACAGCAGTAATGTTAAACTTCATTTTGCATAAAAAGCACCTGGGAGTGGATTAGTCTTGCTAAAATGGAAGTTCCAATTCAACGGTCTGGGGAAGAACTGAGATGCTGACATCACAGATCCCCAGGCTACACTAACAAATAGTGAAATATTAGAATTCGGTTGGACAGCTGTAATTGAAAAGGGTTACAGGACCAGATAAATCTAGTATCCATACTAGGATTAAGTGGAAATCCTTATTTATATACCAATTCTTGAAATACATTTATTTATTTTATGTATTTACTTTTTGGATAATACTGGAGTCTGAACTCAGGGCTTTGGCACTCACTACCACTTGTGCCCAACACCCAGCCTCTACAAGGTTTGAAGTTTATTTTCCACATATTGCTGACAATGGATTACAGCATGTATTCTATAACAAACATACTCTTCCACAAAACACAGTTTTTATAATGCAAAGACAATATTTGATCAATGACAATTACTACTCAAAAATAACAACATTTGAGAAACTAAAAGTGAAATGCCAACTTAAAAAAAATTTACTCATTTTAGGTTTAGGCTTTAAAAAAGTGCCCAGGCACCAATGGCTCACACCTGTAATCCTACCTACTCAGGAGGCTGAGATCTGAGGACTGCAGTTAGAAGCCAACACAGGTAAGAATGTCTGAGACTTTTTATCTGCAATTAAAAACCAGAAGTGGATCTGTGGCTCAAAGTGGTAAAGCACTTGAGTGAAAAAGCTCAGAGACAGTGCCCAGGCCCTGAGTTGAAGCCCTATAGTGGACAGGAAAAAATAGTGTATATTTCCTGCTTAAAAGTCCCTGAGTATCTGGTGCAAGTAATTACATTCCCAGAATATATAAGAAAATTCGGGTAGGGTTTATTTAATTTGAAGGCACTGCACTAGGCTGCCATCAACTTTTCTTATTAGAGGAAAGGGGTGGACTGGACAGCATTGTGAAATATCTATGTTGAGCACCTCCCTTATGTTATTTACCTATTCATGGCCAAACTGGTTTTGACAAGTATCGAGTATTTCATGAACAGAGGATGTATTGTGTGCTCAATGAAAAACAGGACAAGTTCATTTTACATGTCCTTTTGGAAGTGTTGAGGGATCCGTAGCTCCACGGTAGGTAGAACACCACTGGCCAAGAATTTGCAAGGCCCTAGGTTCAACCCCCCAGCACTCTCAATCGCTTTAGAAAACAATCACCTAAAAATCGTGCATATAAACCACCTTAATGACTAGGTAAATACATCCTGCACTTGCACATAGATCAAGCTCTCTGAAGGGTTGCTTGGACGAAGGCAAAGTGTCCTGCGATGACTTTAACCACCCTATTTTCTGCCCCATCTTCCAAACCCACGGATGACCAGGCAGGCACTCTCCAGCTGTCAGGATGAAGGAGGTCACCGAACCCACCACCACAGGCCTACGAACTCTACTGACACGCCAGCCCCGCCCCCAGCCCCGAGTCCTGCAGGAACCCACCTGAGCCTCCGCCCCCAGCATCCACTTCCTGCCCACACCTTCCTCACCCCCAGACCCCGGGCGGCGACCCCACGCACGCGTCGTCCCCAGCGAGCCCCGTGGTAAACAGGCACCTCGGTAGAAAGCCGATGCCATCAAACCCGGAGGGGCGGGGAAGCCACCACCGAGCGGGTCCCCCCCGCCCCGCCACCCCCTCCATTTAGCTTACAAACCCAATGGAGATGCGGGGCGAGGGATACTCATCTATTAGTACTATTGATTCACGGACCAGCATGCATCTGCTTTCATGACGAGGCATTCTTCTTCTTCAAAACCACCATCCAGAGGTCTAAGGAAACGGATGGCAAAGCGGCCGAGCAGGAAGGGGAAGACGAGTAAAGGCCGTTCTCGGACTTACCTGCCGGGGTTCTCAAAGTCGGGGTGCCACTCTTCCCGAGGGGAGAGAAGGTGAATGTCCGGGTCAGCCAGCCAAGAAAGCGAGGAGTCCGACGAGCCCAGGCTACAGACGCCGGAACCGCAGAGCAGCAGGCCGGGGCCCGGCCGGCGTCACGTGACCGGCGGCCATGACAGCGGCGGCGGCGGCCCGAGGCCTCGCGCGGTGGGCGGGGGGCTCCCACGCCGCTTGCAAGTCCCGTCTGGGCGCTCGGGGCCGCCGCGGCCCTTCCTACCTTCTCCTCTCCGGCCCTTCTTTACCCGCCTGGGTCTCGTCCGAAGAGAGGCAGGAAGCAGGCGACCCGGCCTCGGAGGCGAGCGGGGACGCCGCCTCAATGACGCCGGCGACGGCGCTGGGCGGAGCGGGGACGGCCTCAACCTAACGCGGGGCGGGGCCTGGCGGGCGGGGCCGCGGCGGGGCGGCCGCTCCGGAGCCGCCAAGTTTGGCTGTGGCGGCAAATGGGCTTGGGCGGCTCCTCGGCGGGTGGCGGTGGCGGTGGCCGTAGCGGTTCCTGCTGGCCCTGTTGATGTCGGGGCCAGGCCCGGGGAGGATGGCGCTCTAGAGCCCGGCCTTGCTTCTGAGGGGCCGGGGCGGGAGGGGGCCGGGGCGGGGACCGGCCATGTCGGAGGTGACCCGGAGTCTGCTGCAGCGCTGGGGCGCCAGTTTTCGGAGAGGCGCCGACTTCGACTCGTGGGGCCAGCTGGTGGAGGCGATAGACGAGTATCAGATGTGAGTGACGAGCCGCGGGAGCGGGCCCCCCCCCCCCCGCCGGCCTTGGGCCCCGCGCCCCCCACCCTCCACCCCGCCCCGTCCCCCTTCGTGTTCCGTCGGCGTCTCCATCACTGGGTGTGCAGCCAGGCTTCTCGGGGTGGGGCCCCGCAGGCATCGGGACGGGAGTCCCCCCTGGCCCCCGCGAGGCTGCTCCGGGCATCCCGGTCGGGGGGGGGGGGCGGTCCTGTCTTTCCACCTCCGCAGGACGAGTTCCATTCAACAGGTAGCCCCCTCTGTGCGGGGGGCGCCGGCCCTCCCAGGCTACCTACTTAGTTCCTTTCCAGCTTCCCACGGGTGCCCCGCTTTCCCCTCAGTTTCTTTTCCTTTTTTTCCTCCGCCTCTCTTGGGTTGCCTCTCCTCGATGATTCCTCCCCCCCACCCCCCAAATCTCTAAGGAATAAGTGTGTGTGTTCCGCCCACGTTCAAAGGATGAGTGGCCTTGCTCTGAGTGTGTGTGTGTGTGAGTAGGGAAGTGGTTGTGATTGGAGGGAGTGCTCCCCAATTTACAGTGAGGGCCAAGGATGCTACTCCTGCCAAAAGGAAAAAAAAAAAAAAAAGGTCCCCCTCTCTTGGGCTCCTTCCCCACCCCTCTTTTCTGATGAGCTCTGTTTTCACAATTCCACCTCGATTTCGTTTCGCTTTCTGGGGCTGTTATTTGCTAGGCTGTGAGTCCCACCCACCCCCTCGCTCAGTTGCTTTGGGTGGAGTCCGCGCAGGATGTGAACCGAGGAGAGCAAAATGTGAATTAATAGACCACGCACGGGAGCCACCACTCCCTCCTTGAGTCCCTCCTCCTTTTCCTGTGTACAGTATATAGCCTCGGGGTACATGTGAGCACCAATTTCCCTTATCCACCTAAGTTGAATTTCTTGCTCTTTCTGGTTTAATAAAAAAAAATTTAAAAAGCTTTAGGGATGTTTTATAAATGAGAAAGGGTTTGTGTCTACACATCTTGCTTGATTTCTTGCACATATCACTGAACGTGAGACTTGCTTCCTAAAATTATTTCTTGTAAACTGTTGCCATTAAAGTACTTGGTTTTAAAGCAAGTTATTGTTTGCGGTTTCACAGAGTAAGAAAGAATGTGTGAGTAAAATCCACACACATACACCCATGCTTTCTGGAAATAATACAGGAGTAGTACTTGGTATATCATTCTGACTCTTGCCCTTCAAAAGTTACTTGTTTTTATCTGACCAATAAGATTATTTAGATATGTAAATGGTTTCTGTTTCATACTACTGATTTCGAATTGCCTGTAGTTCCCCCAAACCTGCAAACAACTATGCTCTGGGCCTTTTTTTGTTGTTGTTGTTGTTGTTGTTATTAAGGTGATGTACAGAGGGATTATCATTTCATAAGTCAGGTAATGAGTACATTTCATTTGGGGCAGTGTTACCCCTTTCTTTACTCTCTCCCAGTTTCCCCTGCCCATCCCTGCTTATAAGTTGTTTAGTTCATTTTCAACATAATGTCTACTGAATACCACTACTGTATTTGCTCACCCTTTGTCCCTCCATTTCTGGAGGCTCTGAGCCTTTTCTCTGTGCCTAACAACTGTGAACACTTACTTTGCCCTATCATATGATTTCATTTGCTCTTGTAACTGTTCACTGAGAATGTAATTATTCTCATTTTACCAAATGAAGAAACAACACCTCAGGTTAAACACTAGGACCACAAAATTGTACCAAAATTTAGAATTTTTTAATTAATATTATGTCGATCTTGTCTGTTCTAATACTTAAGTGTTTAAGGTGATTTTTTATGAAATATTAATGGAGTCATTCTAAATAAAATGGTCAATTTTCAAGATTTCCTTTATTAATGAATAACGTACCATACAGGTATTCTAATTCTGTGTGTTAATGAAGAATGCATAGCTTGAAATATAAAATGGCCTCTCATTTGTGATGTGATGGGATCTGGAAGCTGTTGGCACTGGCCTACACACCTCCCAATGGAAAGTGAAGAATACCGTGTCTAATTGAAATTACAAAGGAAAATTGGATATGCAGACTATTTCCCTGGAATTTGTGGCAACATCTGAATGAGCTTAAAAGTCTGATACAAAACTGTTGTTGGTTCTATATACTAATCTTTGAATTTTGAGAAATTCAGAATAATCCTTCATTTACTACTATAAAACTGAAAGGTCAGACTTACTTTTTTTAATTTAATTTTATTGTCAAGGCGATGTACAGAGGCTTTACAATTACACAGGTAAGGTAGTGAGTACATTTCTTGTCAAACATTGTTATCCCTTCCCTTTTTCTTCTCCCACTTTCCCTTCTCCCCAATGTCCCCACCCAAGTTGTAAAGTTCATTTCCAACATGTTGCCTTGTGAGTACTGCTGTTGCATTGGCTAGCCCTTTCCTTGTGTCACCATTTTGTTGTTCCTCTTCCCTTCCCGAATTCAGATAAACATATATCGAATACACAGGATACCAAAATCAAATACAGTGACAACAAGGGATAAACCATAAGAAGGGAAAAAATGCAAGAAAAAAAGAAATAACTTCAAATTTCAGTAGACAGTTTTTGATGTTGGCTTAAACTTTGTAAATATACTATGAGGGTCGATGGTTTAGGTTTGTTTAGTGTATTTAGAGTTGAAGACAAAATGCTTTTGTATTCAAAAGAGCTCTTTGGAAGGAAAGATTGCAGCCAAGGAGGCCAGTTAGGGACCTCTCTTAATGATGTGAGCAATTACCGACAGAATTTTCTTTCCAGCTGGATATTAAGAGTGAAGCAGGAAGACTAGGGTAATTAAGGGTTCTAATAGTGTAGATAGTCATACAACGGTTCAGGAACTGGTTTATGAAGGGAGGGGGACATTGGAAAGATGGAACCTTACACTAGCTGTAGTGTTTCTTACACAATTTCAACATCAAATTTCATCATCAAATGTGAGGGGTGGAGTTAAAACACAACATAAGTGGATTTCTGCACTCAAAGTTTAATGGAATGTTTTAGACTTGAATATTGCAATTCCAAAATATGAACAGAAAATGTTTCCCAAAGCACACTTCAGAACTTGAGTATTCTTTCTGGAACACTCCTATCCCCTATTATCTGTTCAGGCTGTTTGGTCACCTACTTCTGGTATGTTCAAATATTACTTTTTTAGGGAGACCCCCTTTGGACACCTATTTAAAATTGTAAAGCCTCCTAGCCACCCTTGACTCCCTGCATCTCAGTCTAGCAACCCTACCCCTCTCCACCCATCCTCCTTCATTTGTTTCCATGGCACTGGTGATGATATAAAATGTATCTTATGTATTCATTTTGTTAATTGTCCTTCTCTTCCAGAATGTAAACTCTTGGAGGGTGGATGGGGGTGGGGAAGGATGGTGTCTGTTCTATTCTTAATATCCAGAGTAATACTAGATTCTGAGTTCATAATTGTTTAGATATTACATAATTATATTCAAGAGTATACTGTGAAGCATTAAGAGGCTGATGCTAAAATGCTGTAAAACAAAGAGATTAGGCGAAAATTTTTATCCAAAACATACATGGACAGTTTTTAAAATATTTCCATTGAGCAGGTTGTCTCTTCCAGCTACCTGGGCATATGTGATTCCTAACTTGTATAGTAGAATGGAAACTCACTCAGCCAAACTTGGTCTTTCTCTAGCACAGTGATAGTTTGGGATGCACTAGTTTCTGCATCACTAGACTGATGTAGAATTTCCATCCCTCAGTTGTTTGAGTGTTTAGAATATACTTAAGACACTCCCTTAAGAACAGTACTAGGGTAGTTTTAGGTACTTTAATGTAGAGTGGAAAGAACCTATAGAGAAGTAATTTCAAAGCTTTCTCTCTTTTACAAGTAGAATGTCACCTTGTATTTGTTCAGCTGGTATTCAGAGCAAGTTGATTTTCCTTCAGTGAGCAATATCTTAAAATATCTTAAATATCTTAAAGTATCTTAAATATCTTTCATGATTTAAAAAATAAAGTTTTTTTGTAAGGTTTAAAACATAAATTTTTAAAACTCAGGCATAATTAATACACTGAAATTCATCCATTGTAAATGTACAATATAATGATGTATGTATGTGTGTATGAATGGAAGTATGTTGGTTCCAGGCCTTTGACTCCGAGGTCTGGTGCTCACTCAGCATTCTGCTGGTATTCTACTACTTGAGCTACATCTCCAGCTCACTATTTGCTGGTTAATTGACATGGAGTCTTGTAGACCTTCCCAGGCTGGCTTGGAACTGAGATCCTCCAGGTCTTAACTTCCTGAGTATCTAGGATTAGAGGCATGATCCAGTGGTACCCAG